CTGTGTACTATCTCACTGTAAGTGGTGTGCGTGAGATACCCACCCGTACTGATTGAATGCAAATCCTTTGTAGCCCATGTAATGTAGCAGTATTGGTCAGAGTTTTGCCAGTTCATCCGGCCCGGACAGTTCCTAGGCTGTGCTCGGTTCCTCCTCACAGGACTGATGCCTTGATACCTTGAGCAGTTCATGAACATTCGTACCGTTGTGGTCCATCTCCATCTCTTTTCTCTCCTAATGTGCTCCGTTTTGCCTCCACTACTATGCCCTCCCGCCGATCGTTTTAGCGCCACTCACCAAGTTCATCAGATAACGGGCAGTACACTGCATCGCTTTGCCATCCCTGACCCACCACAACAGAATGGAGGTCATTTCTCGCGAAGGCCATTGGTCAGTACTGCGAAATGGTCCATTTCTGCCAAATCTCTCCCTGTAAATTGTGTCCGGATGTAAACTTGTTGAGCCTCTTAGCCTTCCTCTGCGTAGCCTTCCTCTCGAGACACCTTCCCGCTTTCGATGAACTGCACCAACATTCAGAGAGTTGTCTTGAGGACACGCATTATTGCTCAGTGCTTTGGGAACTCTCAACTCTTTGAACCTTCTTCCTTCGCCTCCATTCTCATGCGTTTTGCTTGGAATAACAGCAGCACAAAACGCATATTGTCACCGGGTTGTCTGTGTGTGCGTATGTATCTGAGTGCACTTTGTCCCGCACTTTCAACTCGAGAATCACAAGAGCTAAGTGGCTGAAATTTTAGTAGAGTGTTCCCTGCCCATGTGTGAACCAGAAATTTTAAATTCAGCCTTCCCGTGCTTGCGGGGAATATGTACGACCCCGTGAAAGTTTTAGAGGGAAAAATTATTATCTCAGGAACCACGGAAGCTAGGAAGCTGGAACTTTCCCGCGCTTGGGTATCACGTACGGCCCCGTGAAGCCTTTCGGTGGGGAGTTATTATCTGGGGAACCGTGAAAGCTAGAAAGCTGGAATTTAGCGAGAATATTTCCTGCCCACGTGCGACCCCGTAAATTCAAAATCAGTTTTTTGTTAAGCCTGGGTCTCAACTACGACTCCGTAAAAGTCTCCGCGGAAAAAATTGATATGCCGGGAAAAAAGTACTATGAAATTTTAGGGGTATGTGACATCGCAGAATCAAATTCAGCTTTCATGTATTCCTGAATCTGTCGTGCGGCCCCGTGAAAGTTTTATTGGGGGAAATTATTTCAGGAACCAGAAAAGCTGTGAGGCCGAAATTTCGAGAGGGTGTTTTCTGCTTGTGCAGATATCTGAGAAGCTCGAATTTAGTTTCCAAGTATGCCGAGGTCTTAGGTACGACCACTTGAGCGTTTTAATGCGAAAATCACTGACTCGAAAGCCTTAAAACCGTGACATTGGGAATTGCGAGGATGTTACCCGTCCAAGGTCTCAAATTTAGTTTTCACGTATCGGTACGTGAAATCTTAGTAGGGAATTTCGCAACTTAGAAACCGGACAACATTTCACAGTGAAAATCCTTAACAGGCAAACATCTGCCGGGCAGAATTGCGTAAAACGTATGGTTGCTCCGGTTGCCCTAGTATACACTGCTATTTATTATGCGTTTTTTGCAACTATGCAATGCGAAAACGCATATTGACGAGGGGTTATGTGTCCGTGTGTCTGTGCGTCTGTGTGTGCGTCTGTCACGTACTTTCATCTCAAGATCTATAAAAGCTGCGGGGCTGAAATTTCGGGAACTTAATCTACATGTACGTGTCGGCTCCAATCCCCAAAATGGGCGCCAACACCCGCGTAGTACCCGCGTACAGGCCCGCCAAAATTTTCTCCGGGTAAGTTCATAACTCGGGGATCTGAGAAGCTAGAACGCTGAAATCTTAAGGAGACATTCCCCGTCCAACTAGGTGTTAATGCACTGAAACCCATCCCCCGGATAAGCGTGGTGCCCGCGTACTGGCCCGCCAAAATTTTTTTCGGGTAAGTTCATAACGCGAGGACCTGAGAAGCCAGAATGCTGAAATCTTAGGTCGATGTTCTTCGTCTAAGTAGGTATTAACGAGTTCAAACCTTGCCCACGAGTAAGCGTGGTACCTATATACGGGTCCTTGAAAGTTTCTTCCGGGTAAGTTGCTAACTCGAGAAGGTGAGAAGCTAGAAGACTGGGATTTTGAAAGGATGTTTCCTGACAGCCGTGGCGGCCAGCATGAAATTCTCTTAATTAGAACGATCTGCCAGAAAAACCAGTGCCGTTAGTGACAAAAATCTGCGGACAGCCGTGCAAAAAACGCATCTTCGCACGGGCAGCCCGTGCGTTGGCCAATTATTGTTCTTCATGTGAGGATTTGCAAGACGTGAGGGACGGCTGGCAATTTGGTTTCGAGATACGATATTGGGGGGAAGGAGCATTACTTATGTAAAGCAACGCTTCTGAGCGACACTGCAAGTAGCCGATAGGGCATCTTTCAGGCCCTGCTATGTTAGCACGCACGGTGCGGGCTTATGGGCAGCTGGTCAGTGCCGTCCAGATCGCAGCTGATCAGTAGGCTTGTATCCCATTGGTCCACTTAGCATCTCGTTTTTCGCTTCGCATTCATAGACCTGTACAGTTCCCATAGGCGGATCCATAGCGGATCCATAGGCGGATCCATAGCTGTACAGTTCCCTTAGCGGTCTCGTGGGGGGGGGGGGCAACACATGTCCATACCTTCGTCACAAAATATGCGCCTATATATCTTTTCTTTTTCCCAATCACTTCCCTGTTGTGTCCTTCTACCATTGGTCACTATTAGTTGCTACAATTACGGATTAATCATTACCTCCATTCTCCTCAATTTCCTTTAAAAAAACTCAATTCTCACCGCTCCCATTCAACATCTCACATACACATGCAATTTTTGGTCATTCCCCCATCAACAGTTTGACTTAATTACATTTAGCATGCTTCATTTTATTTTATCACCTCATTCGTCACTGCACTCCCGGCTCCTCACTACACTCAATGGTCTGCTACCCCCTACCTCGATTATCTCACCAGACCCTCTCCCCCTCAAAGGCTCCTGGGGGAGGGGGCGACAGGGGGTTTCAAGTAGACTTTTCTACAGCAAAATAACTGCTACCTAAGCCCTCAGAGGGAGGGGGGGAAGCGAAAAACTCTCCCTCATCCCCCTGGATTCGCCAATGACAGTTCCTTCGCCCAATATCCCCGCCCTCGGTTGCGCAGTTCCTTACTTTCGAGCGGGGTCTCATCCCTCTTCCAGTCAATATCCCAGTCTCTTCTCCTTTGTTACGAACTCCCTAGAAACGACACGGCCAGCCCTTGCCTCCCTCCTCCCCTGTCCCACTTCTCCTTCACCTTGCCAACTCAAGAAACAATGTCAAAAGCACTGCAACTTCGTCCCGCAACATGACGAATTCCGGCCGACTTTTAGCTATTGCTTTCATATCCTAGCCAAAGCACCCCCGCCTTTGGCGCCTTCTCCTCGCCTCGCTATCGCTGGGATTATTTCCTGGGCCAGTGCCTCATTTCCCTTGGCTCTTTTGAATTGCTGTTGCTTCTTCTCGCGTTCGGTCGTTGTACGAGGCAGCAGAGCTGCTCTTCGGGGCCGTTCTCCAGTCTCACTGTACTGTTTTGCAGGAAACGAGGTGGAGTGTCGAAGATGAAGTCGTCGTCGCAAGGCTCAGAAAAGGTGGCCGAGTATGGCAGCTGGCGGAGTCCAATCACGCCGGACTGGCTGAGCCGCTGCAACTGCAAAGCGATCGCCGAATTATTCCTCTCAGATTGTAAGCTTCAACATTGCACTACCACTTCCCGATATGTGCAGGTGCATCACTTCTGGAGTGCCACGAGTCCGCGGAGCTTCTTCGGGGAACCCCCTCCATCTGACGGCCATCTTCCCCTTCTCTCCGTTCTCCTCATTCGCATGTTCCATTCTGCACTCAGCCCAAGTCCTATTATGAAGGCCTACCAAAGTCCCTTGCTACAAGTTTGGAGTGTTAGCAGCAATGCAGACCTAATAAATAACAACGCGCACCAGACTAGCCGGTGCGATCATGCGTTTTGTGCAATTCAGCCCACCGAACGCTTACCTATTAATGATTTTCACTACTTTGTAGTTTAGTCTATGCAAAAAGAGTTCAAACATTGGAAAATAGTTAAAAATTTCACGCATCAGCGCATGAAAGCTGAATTCGAAACCT